GCCCAGGACCCGCATATATATACTACTATTAAAATTAAGTATTTTTTGGTTATATTTAAATTTATTTAGTTATAATTAAATAAACTAACAACATATTAAGCTAATAACAAATAAACATAATTAAACTGATAACATATTTATCATATAAGGAGATTTTGATCCGAAAATTCTCTCTCCATGTGTGGGTGGGTCTTTGAGCTCCCCTTTTTTAATTAACATTAGATAACTTAAAGATACATTTGTTTAGTTTGGATCTTTACTTTTAACCTAATATTATAAGGTTTTAATTTTAAAGGGAGTGGGTTTAAAAAAAAAAAGAAAAAAAAAATGGAAAAAAAGGATATTTGAAGTGAAGGAGAATGAAGTTAAAAAAAATATGTTTATGAAAAAAATATAGTTTTAGCATATAAAGAAAAGATGAAAAGAAACTTTTTCACACTCGTCATTTCTTTTCTCTATGTGTAAATATGTATTTTAGAATTTTAATTCATTTGGACTAAAAGAATTGTGAATTTTATTTCTAATCACTTTTCTATTGATTATTTAAAAATATGTAAAACAAAAGGTACGTTTTATCCAAATTTTGCTTTGTTTAATCTTGTGCGTAGTCTTCCCACCCACTAAGCCGGCTGCGCAACAATATTTTTGTCATTCTTTTTCAGATATAGAAGCTGAAGTGCTACCCCTTTACTGGGATTGAGTTTGGTTTTATTTGATGCACATTTTGAAAATATTTCGTACGTTTACTTTTAAGATTTTGATCCGATGCATATTTCTTGAGATTCATACCTTTTAGACAAGATTTTTTGAGATTTATGCTTTTAAGCAACTCATCTGATGCTATTTGACTATTATTCCAAAGAGAAGGTACGTTTTGTCTTTCAAGTGGGAAATTCTTGCCCACTCTATGTAGAGCTAGGATTCTGTTCCTTCTTAAGAGGTTGATGTCAGGTAATCTGGATTACTTCGTAAGCTGAGATTATGTAATAAATGTTTTAAATATCATTATGGTTACTATTTTCGTATAATAATGCGTTACATATTTTTGTCATTCCATTTTTGATGTTTTATTCTTAATTGCAGGGTGAGCGAGAATAATCATCATCATCCTATGGAAAATGGCGACGCTGAAGTCGTCAGCAGCCCTTCCAAATGGAATGACAAACCTTGTTTTTCTGAAGCTCTCGTCGATCCCGTCGAAGAATCGGTAAGTGTCCGCAATTCATACTTTTCTATGATTATTCGTTTTTAGATAGGATGAGTAATATAAATATAAGGAAATCAAAGATGTCTCTAATCTGTAATTATCTGAACTAGTCTCTAATCTGTAATTATCTGAACTAGTCTCTAATCTGTAATTATCCGAACTAGTCTCTAATCCGTAAATATCTGAGCTAGTCAATTTTGCTTTTTTAATAGGTTTAAGAAGGAAAAAGAACTTTAAAAATGTATAAAACGGAAGAAATTCAACAAATATAATATTTAAATTTTTGTAAACTAATTAAAAAACTTTAGATAAATTTAAATTTTATTATATTAAAATGGTTAATGTTACGACGTTTATTATAAGTCAGAGCACCAAATTGCTTTGAATATTGATTCGACTGGTGCAACTATATATGGTATACTGTATATGGTATTTTATATATGTTATATAAATATTAAAGGGACATATAAAAGTGTCCCATCCTGCGCCAAAAGGTTAAGAAGGGGGAAAAATATCTTGTAACATTTCACTAATAACGAAAATATTTAGAAATATCGTATGCAGTGTGTGTTTATTGTTATTTAGAATTGTAAAATAGCGGTACGAAGTGTTTTTTTTCCGTCTGCAAAAAAGTCACCAGTATTCTCATTGCATTAAAATAACATATTTTGTCAATTTTTCATAGCGGTATGTTATCCCCCCCCCTTCTCCCCGAAAAGAAAAGAAACAAATCCGTTTCATTTTCACTTGTCAGAGAATCGATAAATCCATTTTTTTTTCTTCTGGCGAATTTCTTGAGCGAAGCAAAACAAGTGATAAAATAAGATCTGAAAGCAATCATCACTATCTCGCTACTTTTTATTTCATCTTTTTGTATTACCTTATAACTATTGTTATGATGATAGAAAAAAAAAGATGATATTTGGTTGTCTCTTACGAATGGAATGGAAAAAAAAGAGAACAATTTGCTTTTGATGTAGTGCTAGTTTAAGCGGATTAGGGAGGGATTTTATTTTTCCTTGTTTTTATCTCTCATGGGCGATGCTTGTTTGAACTTCCTCTGGATTAAATGCCGCCTTCTTCGTCGGAAAAGATTAACCAACCCGATCGATTCCTCTATTTTTCCCCGAAAAACTTTTTTTTTTTTTCCAGGAGAGAAACCTAGAATCGAAAGTACTTTCCTTATGTCTTTTTCCGGAAACCAAATAGAACTCTCTCAGAGAGCTTTTATTTAAATATAACATTTGGGCTTTTACACATATACTATATGTTTGTGATTTTATTTTGTTTCTTTGCAAAAACGAGCATTGCTTTAAATATGCAAATTGCAATGTATGAAACTCTGAAACAGTGCCATTCTGTAGACCTAATGCCTGGCGTTTTTAGGCAAAGTATGATATACAGGGTGCGTTCTGAAAGTAATGCGCATTTTCTGGGAAAAATAGATTTATTGATCCTATTTGTACAAATGGTTAAAATTCTTCAAAATAGTTCCCTTGTGCATTAATACACGTGCGGAGACGATTTTGACACGCCTGGAAGGCGCCTTGGAACTCCTCGACGGGAATGCCTCATCAGCTTGGATGTTCTCCACCAACTTCCAGTGCTTTTCCTTCAGCTCTCTTTTCAGTCGGCGGAACAAAAAAAAAAAATGCCACATGGCGTCAAGTCAAGGCTATAGGGAGGCTGAGCCACCAACTCATCAATTCCAACAATTCTTCACTGCGCGAAACTCGAACTTCTTTTTGATCCTCCGTCAACACCTTCGGCACAAGCTTCGCACAGACCTTTCGCATTTGCAAATCCTCCTTCACAATCCCATGTACCACACATTTTGACAAGTTCAGGGTGTTAGCGATTGCCTGAATGCTTAACCGACGGTCTGACTTCAAAACTTCACGCACACGCTGGACGTTTTAATCGGATCGGGCTGTTGTTGGGCGTCTAGAACGAGGCTCGTCGGTGACCTTCTCCCGACACTCCTTCCTTGGAGGCCTTGTGCCACCTTCCACTCTGAGATCTCGAAATGCATTCCTCCTTAAAGGCGTCTTGAAGCATATGATGAGCTTCCGTCGCATTCCTCCCAAGGCGCACACAAAACTTTATCGCGTACCGATGTTCCAGCGAACACTCCATCACGCCGTGACTCGATCGAAAAAAAGACTTTGCGCGAAGACACTGTTCCGAGCGACCTGAGACCCACCACATTTTTCGACCAATCTGAGTGCGCTGCGATCAATAGTCGCGTCACAATAAAATCATTACTTTCAGAACGCGCCCTGTATGAGAATTCTTTGATATGTTGCTATTTTTGTGAAAATAATCCCGACTAATATATTTTATGTTATAACCATCGTTGAACAGCCGATCCAATTTTGGGTTTACGACTACTAATGTTCAACTCCGTAGCCTTGTAATTTTGAACCAATCCAGAAGACTAGGAAACTCCTGTATCAATGCCCCAAGAGGTATGATTCGTTTTGGGTACGTGGAGGACTATGTGACTCGTCAGATTTAGGGTGCATCAGTCACCATTTACTACATGGGCATACCTGCCAACTTTTAATCCGTTCCATTATGATTTTTCCCAGTGGCATTAAAAAGAAATTAAAATTTCAATTTTAAGCAAAAAATACGTTGTTTTTGAAAAAGCTTAAGCTGACAACTATGATAATAACACACATTAATATATATGCTTAATTTTTGTAAGAATATTGGTGATGAAAATCATTTAATAATTAAGTTTATAAAAGAAAAATTAGTATATATTTACTACCACTTTAAATATAAAAATAAAATTTTACGCTGAATGCGTAAAAGTTGGCAGGTATGCATGGGGATTCTTCAGCCGGTGGGGATTGAACCCACAACATCTTAAACATGGACCCAGTGCCATACCAACCTGGCTATCCCGGCCTGATATACGTTATGATATAAAACTTTATTTGCTTAAAAAAATATGAAGATTATGAAGAGGGTTATAAATACCGACATGTTTCGAGCACTCAAAAATAGGCCCCCACACTTAAGACTCGCCAAACGTTGAAGAAGACAGAAAACGTAGAATTGCTGAGAAAAATGGAAAAAAAGGTAAAAAACAAAAATTAAACAAACCTTTGGAGTCCAGAGGGAAACTCGCGTAAAAAATGAAAGTGAAAAAGCAAAACTAGAAAAACAATGGTGGTCAAAAGAAAAATAAGGGCGAAATGCTTTTCCACGCGCTATTTAGAGACGCATGAATGAAACAAAATTCCAGGTCATCAAGATGAGTTAACGTGACTCTGGTTTCTTTGAAATTTTTTCCGTTTCAAATCCCTTTTTTCCTTCATTCATGTCCATCGAATCTCCAGAATGGGTGTCTATTTTTGAGCACTCAATGTGTGCATCCAAAATTATTTTGTCTTTTTTAAATAAGCGTAAATCAAACCTAAAAAAAGCAAACCTAAAAATCCTAATATAGAAATATTTAATTTGCTGATTTTAAATTATCTTATTTCGAACAAATTGTGTGATGTCACACTTGTCACAAACTCACACATACAATTTCACTTACCCTTCATTCGCCTTCACACGTGACATCATTAATGGAAGACTCTTAAAAAAGGTCTGGGTCCTTTAATGGACTTTTTAAAAAAAATTATTTTCACCTTAATTTTTTTTTTTTTACTTTTTCACCCAAAATAGTTTTGTTTCGAAATTTTTTTGTTAGTCCAATATTTACCATTTTTAAAATCAAAAATATTTGGCCTTTTACAATATTTTTTTTATTTTTAAAAGAAAAATATTGGACCCTTTACAATATTTTTTTATTTTTAAAATGGATCCTGTACAAAATTTTTTTCTAAACGGAGCTAACAAACGAAACTGAAACAAAAACGGAGTCAAAAATTTCTTCAATTCTTAATTTTAAAACTAAAACTCTTTGAAAGATAGTTTTTTTCCCCTCTCCCAAAAATAGAACTTTATTTTCACTTTAAAAAAATAGTATTTCTAGCAATTGATTACTCCAAAAGAGAACCTTAAGTTTATGTTACTGTGAACGTTCGAAATTGTTGAACTTTACATAGTCGTCTATTTGATTATTCGATAATTTATTTTTAATTTCATTATGTCTTTCTTGCAGTAGTAATTGTCAACATTCAACATAGTATTGACGGTGAATGGTGAAAAACTAGTTTCGTTAAATATCATTATTTTTCACTGACACCGTTGTGTCGATATTCAGAATTCTTTAAATAAAGGATTGTGAGGAGGAAAATATAAATTTACTTTTTATTAAACATTCACGGATGAATGTCGACATTCTCCTGCGTAGGAGCGAAATATAAATGCTTGAAATTAGACTGAATGTTGGCTGCATTTAATGGATGGATAAATTGAAGTTTTTATGAAGAAATTATAAGGGGAAAATAATGTAAATAAATTTTTTTTTATTATTATTCTTCATTCACTTTTTAATATCGATATTTTTTGGTGTTGGGAGCGAAATGATATTAATGTTTTAACTTCGATTGAATTTCGGACATTTATCAAATCGACTACGTATATGAACGTCGATATTCACGGAAAAAAACCGAAAGTGGAATTTTCGCCGGAATAAATAGACCAACTGACCTTTTCCTTGTATCTAAACCAATTTTTGTGTGCATATTTGAATAAATATTAGTTTTAAAATGATTTTCAGTAAAAAATGGCAAGTATTTGATAAAAGTTTTTCCCCCTTTCATTTATATAGCTTGATTAATTCCCTAACTCTCCACATCTACGTGAATTTAGTCAATAAACTTTGGAATTTTCCTTCCTTATCCGTTCGAATATTAACATCGAGAATTAATGCAGCCATTTTTCTGTATCCCGAATTCTTATCCAGTTTTAGATGCTACTGATCATTAAAGTTTTTGAAATTCTACATCTTATGAAACAGTGTTGAAGAAAATTTCACGTCATGTCAAGCCATAAAAATGAATAATTTATCGCCAAAACTTTCCAAGAGGGGACAT